CTATAAAGCTGTCATGAATACCCAATACCCTTTTAAGTGTAAACTTGATTTCAACATCTTAATTTCATCTGTATGTGCTCTGTTTTTATATGGAGTTACAATATGGGGACAACTGTCCCCCTTCCTGTCATCTATGACAAAAACCTCATGTTTTAGCCAAATAATCTGATCTGGATACATGTTAACTATATTACGGTAGTTAAAAGTCAACATATCACTTGTTTAAACCATATATGTTTGAGCTGGATCACAAAACAGTGACAACAGTATAACAAAAATAAAGCTGGGCAAAAAAAAAAAAAAACTTTGGTACCTCAAAAACAGTTTTTTTCAAATAAATCCTGGAGCAGTTTTTGAATCTGTTTACTTTTTCTTTGGAAGGTGGAGCATCTAACTGAGCATGTACAGTGTGAGTGTCATCACTAGCTTGTTTGTGTTTGGAGAAAAATGATGTGTTGCAACCATCCCTTGTTGTTACTGTCCCCGGTCTCCCCTAACCTTTGGACACTTTCATCTGTTTTACAACTTTGGGTTTTAGACAGCATTTAATGTATTTTAACTTTTAGCTACAGTTTTGGGACTTTTAGCTTTACCGTGTTGTCATTTTTAGCTTGTAGTTAACCTTTTAATACTTTTTTTCCTGTGTTTTACTATTTTGGGTTTTAACCATAATTTTGCTTCTTTTAAGATTTAGCATTTGCTTATTTTAGCTTCATACTTTTAGCTTGCATTTTGCTCATTTGAGCTTTTTAACCAACATTTTGCTACTGTTAGATTTTTAGACAAACTTTAGCGAGTTTCAACTTTTAGCCCGTCCGGATACATTTAGCATTCAGTTAGCCTTTTGTTACTTTTAGTTAGCCTTTTGTCACTTTYATGTTTTACACTAGTGTTTGGCTTGACGTCTTTTTGTTTTAAGTTAGCGTTTTGCTTTGTTTAGCTTTTAGCTATAATATTATGTTTCTTTAAGCTTTAACAACTCATTTTAGCTTCTTTAGCAAACCACAGCAATACTGTTCAGTTCTCAGCATTCATGCTATTTCTTTTTTCAAAAAATGCTATTTTTAGTTACATTAAGAAACAATTTAGCTTCTCTTTGAATTCACTCCTCTGATTCAGAGTTTTGGTGAAAGGACACAAAAAACGAGTCAAGCAGGAGCTTCATTCAKCCATCATGTGTCCGTCTCCCCTCTGAAGCCAAGGAGATTCAATTTAACGTGTCTGAGTGTTGTGAGTCACTGAGCAGAAACTGTGATGTCTAATGTTAGGCCTACAGTGAGGAGTCACAGGTGGCCTGCTATATAATGTGTATTTTAGGGAATGACACACTCATCTCAATGCTGGAATGAAGCGAGTGGATGATTGAATAAAGCGAGAAAAGAAAAAAACAGCCCTTTTTCCCCCCAGTCTCCCAAACTACACAAAAGAAACTCCACAGCTTCCAGAAAATTTTGATTTTATTCATAAACCTTTGATAAAAATAACAACATCAATATTAATGTATTGTAGAAACTGTCTATGTACAAAACCCTTACTTGAACAGTTAATATAACTTAAGGCGAGTTAAATTACTGTGATTCTTTTTTGCAGTACCCTGTTGGTGACAATTTCACCAAACTCTCAACATTTTTTTTTAAATTGTCTTTTAAAATTTTTTTTTGCTAAAGTGAACATTTCAGCATACAGGACCTCCAGCAAAAGAAAAGGGAACAAAAGTACCAGAAGTCGAAAAAAAAAACCTCTTTCATCTCCAAAGTAAAATCTACAGAAACTTGCAGCAATGTGTGCTACCTGATTACTTAAAAGCAATGTTTGTATGATTGGCTAGTCATCTCTAGCTCGGTTTGAACTCAAATTCTGTACAAACTGTAAAATATTTTGTTGGTGGAAAACCTAGAGTACATTCCTGTTTCAAATCTAGATCAACAAAATGAGTGAAACAGCTCTCGTCGTGATGGGATGGCGTGCCAAATATATCAAACATTGAAAATATTGTGTTACTGAACAATAGCCCTAAAAAATCAAAACATTAGAAACGATTGAGAATACATTTCACCTTATAGAAAGGACATTAGAGTTTAATAA